AATTAGTAGTAAAAGTAATAAATAAAGTAGGTTAACTAAGCTTTTAAATAATAGCTATAAAGTTTTAATAACACTACGTAATAAAGCAACTGCTGCTAATATAACTTAAAAAAAATAGTTTAAATTTTAACTAAATTAGCCTAAAGGTTATTTTAATTTAATGCATTATGCACTTCTTAATATAAGTTAGCACATAACTATCCCTAATTTGCTGTAATCTACTGTAGCTTTTTTTATTTACACTAAGCCTAGCAGTTAACAATAAATTACTAGAATAATAGACTATAATTAAAAGGCATAATAAAACTACTACACTAAGGAAATAAGTAAAATTAGTAATACTTAGAATTAGTTAAAGTATTTTAGGTGTAAGACATGCGTAAACTACGCAGCTATAAACTATAGTAAAAGCTAAAGGTACCTTATAAAAACATTAAGATGTAGTAGAGAGGCTAATATGCTGCATGTGTATGTTTAATTTTTTAGTATAAAGACTAACAGTGTCTTAGATTAGAGCTAGGTTAGTAGTAAAAAATAAAATCTTAGTTATAATCTTTAACTAGCTTATTATAGACTAGAGTAGTAATTTTTTTTGTAATAAGTAAGTTCTCTTAATATCAATTAGCCCTAGCCTACATAATTAACTATAGTTATAGATTAAAAGTAATCTATAACTTTTTATTTTACTTATAAGCTTACTATAACTACTTATATATAGTTTTATATATTTTAATTTAAAAATTATTATAATCTATCTTAACTATCTATAGTAGCTGCGTAAGTATAGTTAGATTAAGACTACTATTAGCCTAATGCCCTATACGCGCACTATTTGCCTACGCAGGATTATAAAAGTATAGCTATGTGTAGAAAAAAATGTTACTCTTAGTAGGCTTTAATAAGCTATGCATATAGTACATTTTCTCTATAATCTAAAAAACTTTTACTTTTATACTACATGCACTTTAATTTATTTATTTATAGTTAGCTAACATAAAAGCTAAAGCTATATTATAAAATTAAAAATACTTTTGAAAAAATTTACCAAGTGCCTACCTTACAACAAATAACACAGGAATAAAAGTAAATTTAAAAAAGTAAGAAGGTTAATATTACCTATTAAATAATATATAGAATACTAAGAAGAATCTACTTAACTTTTATTAACCTACTTTTTAGGCTAGTAAAAGGCACTATAGTTAGGATAGCTACTAATAGAATTCTATAATAGACTAAAGTCTATAAAAGTAATATAAGTTATAGTAGTAATAATATATGCCTTTAGCATATTATTTTATAAAAGACTAGCTCTAAGTTGCTCTTAATCTTTACATATAAACAAGGATAAAGTAGGCTAATCTAGAGTGTGTAAAAAGAGTAAAAAATTAATAAGTCTTTATAAGGCTAGCTATATATTACACTATATATGTATAAACAGTGTAGAAGAAGTAGAAGTTAGTGTAAAGAACTTAGATAAGGTTAATTATATATATTAGTAGATCTAAATAAATAGCATAAAAAAAGTAAAAAAAAGTGTAAAAGACTTAAAAAGGTCTTAATATATTTAAAATAAATAATTAAGTACTAACATTTTACTTAATATAGTGTTATGCTTAGCTTAAGTAAGTTAGCTCTAACTTTAACTTAATTAAATAAAGAGAGTGTAGGTCTAGATAGAGGTAGCGCTAGGTTAGACATGTTTTAAGGATTGTGCATTTAAGTTAATATTAGTAAGTAGCTAATATGCCTAAATAAAACTAAATATAAGTGTAAAAAAAATAGTATTTATAATAAAGTAACATACTGCATAACTATGTCTATTGCACTAGCAATAAAGAGCTCTAACTTTATTAGTAGAAAAGTTAGAGAAGGGCCTATAGTTATTATAGACTAAGTAGAAAGTAGGTAATAAGTCTATATAGTAACAGTATAATAAGATAACATAGTATAATAGTAAAAAGAAAATAACGTACTTTATAGGCGAGTTGCTCACACACCTAAGTTGCTTACTTTTGCCAAGACCCTACTAAACCACCTTTCCTATACTAATGCATTCCCTACAACACTACTTAGACGCGCTAAAAGAATGTTAGATACAGCTTACACTCTAAGCTTTTAAATAAGACATAAAACTCTTAAAGAAATGTGCTATAGCTATATATAAAGTTTTATAAAAAATAATAAATAACTACAGCGCTAGACAACTTTTATAAGCTAATTCTACAGCTAAATTATAAAGGCTAGGTAATAAAAAGAAGCAGGTAATTATTAAGACTATACTTAAGCTATATGCGCAAGGAATTTCCCCTTAGATAGCATTTATAGCTAATATAGCTAATTCTTTGCGCGCTAAGCGTAATCTAGGCTATGTTTATATAAACTAGCCTAGTATGTTTATAAAGTGTTATTTAAAGCTTAAAGTAAAGTTTTAAGCGTAAGTATAGTTAAAAGATATCTGTAAGGACAGAGCTCTATACCACTACGCTAATACAACTAAAAAGGTGTGAATAATTAACCAACGTTAATTATTGCGTACAGAATAGTATATATACCTGTCGCACGTAAGCACCATCTCGGCCTTACATTATCCCCCTTCTTAGCAGACGCATGTCCCAGGCGTCACATGACCTACCCGCAGCTCAGAGGCGCCTATGCGCATGTCTTGGTTACCGGCCAGAGGCTGACCACCTGCGGCCCAGAGGCGCGGGATAAACACGACGCAACGCTTAGTGGCCCACGCTAGCTAAGCTATATACACTAGACCTCCCAGCAGCAACAACATAGCGCTAGAAGAGGCCGCCTCACGTTTTAGTCTAAAAACTGGCAAAGCTGTTTAAGGTGTAGGTTAAACGCGCGACTGTCCTTGTTATTAGTTAATTATTATGTAAGGACAGAGCTCTGTACCACTACGCTAATACAACTAAAAAGGTGCGAATAATTAACCAACGTTAATTATTGCGTACAGAATAGTATATATACCTGTCGCACGTAAGCACCATCTCGGCCTTACAATATCTAGCTAATTATAAACTCTATCTTGCTAAAGTTGTACGTGTTATTATCCTAGATGCTATACTTAGCTTTAATATTCTTTATAAGGCTAAACCTGCCCTAAATTACCCTAGGACTCTTATAAAGGGCTCTTTTATAGTTGTACTTATGCTTAAACATTACTTTAAGCTCTAAATAACACTTTATAAACGTACTAGGCTAGTTTATGTAAACATAGCCTAGATTACGCTTAGCGCGCAAAGAATTAGCTATATTAGCTATAAATGCTATCTAAGAGGAAATTTCTTACGCATATAGCTTAAGTATAGTTTTAATAATTACCTGCTCTTTTTTATTACCTAGCCTCTGTAATTTAGCTATAGAATTAGCTTGTAAAGGTTGTCTAGCGCTGTAGTTATTTATTATCTTTTATAAGACTCTACACATAGCTATAGCACATTTTTTTAAGAGTTTTATGTCTTATTTAAAAGCTTAGAGTGTAAGCTGTATCTAATGTTCTTTTAGCGTGTCTAAGTAGTGTTGTAGGGAATGCATTAGTGTAGGAAGAGTAGTTTAGTAGGGTCTTAGCAAAAGTAAGCAACTTAGGTGTGTGAGCAACTCGCCTATGAAGTACGTTATGTTAAAAGTAATAAGTCCTAATTAAAAAAAAGATAAAGTAGATTAAGTATGTTTATTAAAATAGAGCGTAGTAAAGCTTATGCTACACTAAATAAATTTAATTATTTAGAGTTTTTAAAAGAATAGTTTTCTCTAAAACAGCATTTTTATTAAGTTTATAAAAAGACTTAATTAGGCTAGAAACCCTTAAGAAAAAATCTTATATAAAGAAGAATTTAACTTATCTAAACTTATTATTCTAAGTAATAGAACGCCTCTAAGCCCTTACCCTCTATATAATAATATGTAGTATGTAAATATTCTTTTAATTTAGAGTTAATTAGTATAGCTTTATAGCCTAAAGAAAGAAAAAAACAGTTAAAAGTGTTTAGCATTAGTTTAATACTATGTTAGGTGTAATCTTAAGGCCTTTATAATTCTAAGTAGAGGTTAGTAAAAAATATAGAATAAATAAATACACTTACTAACTATAACATAGTAGCTTACTGTAACTTATTATTACTATAAAGTAAAATAAAAAAAGTTAACTAAAGCTATAAAGGTATTAAAGTAGATAATGTCTAGGTTAAAAAAAATTAAAATAAGTTAAAGCAGATTTAAAGCTAAAGTCCTTTTATTTAAATAGCAGCTAGGCCTAAAGTCGCACTGCTGTTTTGCTTAACTAGAGAGACACCCCTAGAACCCCCCTTTTTGCCTGCAATAAGCTTTGCTTAGAAGGTCTTAGCAGCGCTAATTATATTTAAAGGGAAAAACTATGTAGTAGAAGTAATTTTAACACCCTTAACTACGTTATCTTTAATTATAATAGGGAAAAAAAAAAGGCTAGATTAAGCATGTAGTAGAGTAGAATAATTACTTAAAGCTTAAAAACATAGAACAACAAAGCTTTTTAGTTATTTAATTTTCTACTAATTAGATTAATAACCAGCTTATATCTAGACTAATAGGAGAGAGGGCTTGGCGGTAGAGATAGTGTAATATTTGATGGTCAGGGTGCTTTCAAAGATAAGCCCTATAGACGCCGGCCTAGCAGTACATCTGCAACATCCAACATGATGATTCATATTACCATGCGCGCGGCTAATTCTAAAAGAGTGGTGGAGATTGTAAAGGTTTCAAAGATTCAAACTTGCGGGTAGTCTGGAACTGCCTATAGACGAAATTACTGTGCCACAAGCTCGGGCTTCTATCCTCAATTGGCTTCAGCTTCCTTTCTTTAAAGTTTCATTGCTTCCTGGCGCTTATTCCGGAGGTCTGGTGATCGGGAGTCTGTTCTCTTTGGCGCTTAGGCATAAGACGGTGGTTTTAATCCCCGAACGTAACGAGTATTTAGATGGCAACATGTAGACATGATGCTCATGTATTGTCCAACGCACTTCACCACGCTCAAGAAATACTTCGAAACACATCGAAAACTACGACACACTTCATTGCTTTGATCATGTCACTCGAAAGTCTTCAAAACAATGGTCTTTTTGTCATCCTTTTCCTGCGAACTTCACCGCACACGACGAACAATTTCCATTGGGGACTCTATCTACACCGTTTTGGAAAGCGAGGAGGAACCAAGTATCACATTAAACAACAGGGTGCTGGTTGGATTACAGACCACGGGAATACTGCTGGTGTCTTCAAGTCTTTCTTGCTCGTTGGACTCTTCCAAATCGCAACCATCCGTGATGGTTGGGAGGACTATGTCGACCAACAACTCCGAACATACGATTCTTCACTGAACAACTCGCCCAATATCACCTGTCGCGTCTGGGTCCTTTGGGTTCTGGCGTTACTGCAGAAAGAAGTGAACGGCTACAAGCTCCTCAAGTGTGCCGATCTAAGTGCACTAGAGGCAGAAATCATGGAGTGGGGGAATGCGAACGCCGCAGCCGCCGATGCAAACCAACAACCTCGACCAGTCGCAGTTTCAAGTATGTCTTCCATTTACTCTTACATCTTGTGATACGCACTAATCTTTCTTGTAGAATACATTCAGGGATAAAGTTCCAGGTGGATGTTTACAATGTTTGACTATATGTACTCTGATCTGTCGCCGTCTCAAATCGTGTTATCTTTCTTTTTCACTCTTGCCAAGGCCTGGGCTGCGAAGCATTTGATTTTACAACCACCTGTTTATCATATTCCACGCTCATTATCTATGTAACAATATGCTCCTTCTTTTTCAATCCTGAGTTTGTTTCATTGCAACTGCCTACAGTGATTACAAAGATGTGATGAATATTCAACTACAATTTTTAGGAGCAATCCTTATGAAAAGGCTGAAGGCGAGTCGTAAGAACAAAAGCTACAGGACTATCTATGCAGGGTGGAAACATTGGCCATTAATCAGTGCACCATTTCAACCTGAGGCGCGGTGTCTGCAGAAATTGCATTTAGTAACTGCCTCGCAAATAGATCGCACAAATTGCAATAATAAATGCTCTGTTGAATGGCCTATCCTTCAATCAGCAAAGATGACGGGTAGGGTTCTTGGTCAAAAGGGTGGTCAAAAAGAGTGTACGATAGTACAAAGCAAAAACAGCAAAAACAAGGTTCAATTCATCTCTCTATAGTAAGTGTTGCAGGAAGCTCCCTCTTATGTCGAGCAATTAGCTCCGTACAGGGCCAATTGCTCTGGCAACAAGACTCGTACGCGCAAGCCCTAGATCTCGCGTGCGAGGCGAGATGGCCAGCGCTCACGCGCGGTGGTCAGTGTTGAGCATGCTCATGCTCATGATCCGTGCTAGAACATTCACTCAACCAACATGCTCATAATATCTACGCCAAAAGAAAAGCGTGAATGCTCCGATTACACTTCTTCAATGGTGAGGGCGACGCGCTCTTTGAAGAGAGATTCCTCTTCCGCTCTATCAAATCTGGGAGGACTGGTAACTACAGAAGACGGAAATCCACTGCTTTTCCTAAAATTAAGGCAAAGCAAAGAGGTAGAACTCAATTGCTTGCATGAAGATCTATAGCAACTGTGCATAGCTATAGTCACTGCTAAATTCAGAGTACACGATGGATATGCCTAACATAGCAACTAATTACAAATTTTTCTGAGGTATTGAATCTAGATCTAGGGCTTTTCCAAGCGCGTCTATCTCGGGATAAATAGCTTCTTCTTCGTTAAGAAGGCTCTTTTTAATTGAAATTTGACGATTTTTTAAATTATGTCAGATGCAAAGTCTATATGGAGAAGCCATGAAGGTTAATTCTTCAGGTATGCACACAAATGATGAACTGTCTCACGTACTTACACAAGGACTTTACCACAAGTATTGTACATACATGTTCAAAGTTAGCTAGTCAGTAATCAAGCTGTATAATGTAAAGTATAATTTGTGGTTATGCGCGTGTATATATATATATATATATATATATATATACTTAAAACAACCTCTGCAGGCAGATTTTGCCTACAAACTTCATCCTCATCCTGTATCTGCTAACATAGGTTACGTTCGTTTACAATTAACGAAATTGCCTCCCTTAGCTGCATTATTCATCTTGAAATGGAGGACGATTGTGAATCGATTCAGGACCTGATGTCCATTCTGGCCAATTCCACCTTGGTCGATGTTCAGCTATCATCCCGTGACGACATGGTGAACCATTCTGAAAAAGCGAGAAGCTGGAACGAGACACAGGTCGCTACCACACGAACATTACTCGCTCGGGATCTGGACCAGGCGTCAAATACGACAGCTTCCGCTTCGCATTCTCCGACAGTGACTGCAGACGCGTGGAAAAATCCCAGTGATATTACTGCGATCGTGATCGGATCTGTTGCTGCAGCTTCCCTCGCGGCTGTTCTGATCGGAAGCACCGTGTTTGCATGCACGAAGTTCTTTCGCGGCGAGCCTGTCTTTTCCATGTCTGGAAAGAAGAATAGTGCTGATGCAGACGTTGAGAAAGCAGAAAATGTGACGGTCGAGAGTGTTTGAGGTTGACAGGGTGTACGCCTCAGCGCAGCAAGCACACCGCCATCTTGACGCAGGACGCACCATGGACAAAGCGGCCATCCCCCGAGCAACAGCCTCGCGAGAATAGCGGCCAGATTCTCCTTTCTTCCCTTCTCCTTTCTAGTTCAAGCCTAGGAGGCACTATATAAGCACAAGCTACCCGCACCCTTCCTAGAGTTGTATCTTAGTGTACGTTGAAATACAGCCAACATACCCTTTCCTTCTTGATCACTTTGCCCCTGCGCTTCCCGACAAGATACAGCGATAGTGGAGACCGAGCTGGTCCTCACACATAGGGCTTTTGCGTTTATTCTAAAGAAGGCTAGGCCGTGTTAAAGAAGCTGGGCATTGTGTAAGAAAACGTGCTAATTTATGCTATGCTATGATAAAACCTATATAATCGTACTACAGCACCCGCTTCTAGAGCCGTAGCGTGCTCCATATACCGACCTCCGTGGCGAACATGCAATTTGCGCCACGCTTAGGGCTTAGAAGGCCTCGAAATCTTGTAGAAAGATATAATGCAGGTTGAATATTAATATAATTCAATTTTAGCTAATAAAACAATAAGACGATGTAGTTGTACTAGAGAAATTATTATAGGGTCAGAGCACGTCTAGCGCTTAATAAAGTATAAGATAGCCAACATTACGTAATTTTTATATGCAATCTAATAGTTCGCTAGAGAGAGTATTAAATATATAGTTGATAGTTTATTTACAAGTATAAGAGCGTTTGTATAGATTAAAGTCGCTGTATGTTCGAAGTATCTATCGTTTTCTTCGGGACACGGGTGTCTTTCGCCACGCAGGGGGGGAGGTTAGTCGTGCTTACACACAATTCTACTTATTCTACATCTGCACTAGCTCCATATTCTACATTTAAAGCGGCATCAATGTCCTATCTCCATGTCCTCCATTTGCCACCTATTCAAAGTCTCTACCGAAGACTCTGTATTGGAATGCTAGCTGCTAAGGACCCGCGTCCGCATTTAAACGGATGTTCGCATAAGTTTCAAGGCTTCCTCATTGCGGCTTTGCGATTTAAGCGTGAATGCAAGGTTATACATAGCTGTTAAGGTATCTAGGTGTTCGTCTGTAAGGATCCTCTTTCTCGTCTCTATCACTCGCACCTCTAAGTTTTTAGCCTTGTGCCACTGTTTTTAACTCTAAAGCGTCGACGCCAGGTTAGCTATACTAGTAAGCGTGTCTGGGTAGGCTGCCCCAAGTGCCTTCTCTCTTCCTTTTAGTGCTCGCCGGATAATCCGCTCTCCGGAGAGAAGAGCGGCTGGCAGGGCATAGATTGTTCTTGGTCAAAGAACCAATAGCAGCCAGAGCTCCTTGAAGCCATGCAGAGACGGCATTGCATTCTATGCTTGGTTCGTAGAAAACGCTGAGAAGCATAGGACGTATGCCCCTGATGTTGCAGCTTAAGGTGAGAAGCTTGTCCAAGTGATCTTGGTGCACCCAGTTATGCTGTAATGAGCCACCGGGGCAGGTGAATAGGTCTTCTGATCGCTTCCGTGTGCTGATTCTAGGGATTGGGAGTTGCAATATTCGAGAGGCGCCCATAGATGGCAGCAAAAGAACAGCAGCGAGTGCAGTGTGGCTCTGGTCGATAATATTGTGATATATGCAGAATTTGGTGAGATAGCTGTAAGAGTCAGCAAAGGACGGGATCGAGCACCGCAAAAGTGATTCGCCTAATGTCCGCGATAAAACAAACTGGGGGCTCCGCTGAAGGTGGATCGACCAAGGCGATAGCGAGGTATTGTGCTCAAATGTCATGGTCGCTTGCCAACCCTGGCCCCGTGCTAGAATGGCGGCCCACCATCGAGCCTCTTCCGGACTTACACCACCAATGTCAACATCAATACAATTCCGATTATTCTGGTGATTTGTAGCGTCGTGGTATGTTGCCTGACTCTCGGTGTACGTTAGGGTGCAAGGTCCAGGCATGACTTCTGTCCAGCGGGCCGATAGGATATATGCCCAGGCCAGTATCAGGATAGCAAGGTAGTTGTCGTCACGAATAAACCATGATGCGCAGCCAGAATCGTTTTGCGTCCCCGTTATTAATAGCGAAATTGGAGCCCCGGCTGTCACACCTATTTTGACCTGTTGCCGAAACGACGGCAACCCGTACTTGCAATCTGCTCCCGTCAATTCCCAGAAGGAATATCCAGTAGCTAGAACCCGAGTCTCATCTTGCTTGAGGTTCAGATTACGCGGAAAGAACGGCTGCATGCAAAACGCGTCCTGGAGGCGGAGGCAATAGACAGGAAGGTTGGAGTTCTTGCTGTTATGATGAAGCTGAGCCCATAAAGTAAACCCAGCTTCATAGATGCGGCGGAACTGATCGTCACTTATTCGCACAGCATCCGCCATATTCGTGCGGATAATGGTGGAAGAGACTGGTTAAACGAGGGTACGACTTAGGTGGCCCGAGCGTGCCAAGACGCTAGGCAGCGGTGGAGCACGGGGTTGTTGTGCCGGCACCCAGCAGACTTGCTGCTGACGTGTCTGCGCTGCACTCTGCATCTGCATGCACCGCATGAGCTGTGCATTGTGGGTTGTACGACAGCACGGAAAGCTCAAATAAATATGGGTGATCCTATCTTACTTTCCCTGCACTTTCGGACGGGTGCCACTTCACAACTCCTTGCCGCGAATCAACCAGTTGTAGGTTTCACTACACCATCAACTCGCAAAGAGAGAATTGACTATTTGCAAGGAAGATGTCAGCAAGCCCAGGAGCTAAGGGTTGGTGCACAGTTGCGGGAGGAATAGAGTCGAGAATATCTTGAGGAAGGGAATGGATGGAAGCAAGAGCTTGGAAGGTGCTTGGGGGCAAGGGTGCTGCTGGGGCCACTGGAGAAGTCGAGACTTGAGAAGATTTAGATGATAAGGATACTTTCCTGCGCCAGAACCGACACTTATATGCTCTTGGTCCACCGGGAGCTTGTAATGAGAAGGAATCACGTTAATTATGTGCTTGCATCAGCATGGGTACCATTCGGAAGAGCCTCACCGTTGGGAGCAGGGCGCGCAAACGCTCGAAAAGGGCTCGATTCGCAGAGGTGGAGGCACATTCCAACCCACCAGTTGCAAGTGAAGAAGGTTGTTACGGCAAACGTTGATGCGGTGACCGCCCTTTCCCTCTCGCGCGACGTAGCGACGTCGCGTCTACTTCACTCCAAAACCTCGTCACGCAACAACAACCTCGACAGTCGACCACAACAAAACGCGCTACGCCCTCTCTCGCCAGACCATCACCCCGCGCCCACACAAGCTGACCTCCCCCCTCCTCCTCCTCCTACTACGATCTTTCCGCCCGTATCGACCGCCCCGCCGGGCACGCTGCAGGCATTTAAAACCAGTCTCCACTGTTGCTCTTCGGCAAGATGGCTCGCGCAAGCTTCATGGTCGATAGCGCAGTGCAGTCTATTGCTTATGTGCCTATGCCAAAAGACTTACTTGACGCTCCTCCCACTGTGCCGCCTGCGCTTAAGGTAGCAACAGCCATTGTAGCACTAGCCATCCAGAGCATGTATAGCAGCACCATGATCTCGTCATCAGCTAACTCCACTACAGGTGTAACTCTGGAAAATTTTGCCGACGCCTGGCACGAAGATAGCCTCGGCAGTACCGGTCATGGCAACATCTATTTTTGGTCTCACCATTGGCGCTTTTGGACCTGTAGCTACGATAATACCGTATGGCTATAGGCAGAAAGGATCTTGAAGCTCTATCAAGCGATGGAACATCGTGTGCGCCAAGAATCATATTCACGATCGTTTTTCGTACAGTAGATTCCCCTGGGCTGCTCATCGCATAGCGCCGGCTGATCATCTCACATCACTGGCCCACCCATAATGCTGTTGCCTGATGCGGATTCACGGTTTTAGATCCTCGGTCTAGAAACAAGTACCTTGTCGCGAGCTCTATACCCGCCGGCAACTCCCAAGACCTAAACCTATGCTCGATTCTTATGAGGTCTTGAATCTCCGGGCTCATGTTAGCGCGGACTGAATCGTATAGGCAAAGCAGCGGGTTAGGGCGCGGTTTGACGGCGGACATGAGAGGTACTCTGCGCCGCTCTCGGCTATACCGCTGTCACCTTCCGTCACCTCCAAATCCCCGTGCCATCCAATTACAAGCCTCCCTCTAATAAGTATGGACTGTCTACCCCTAGCTCTATCAGAAGAGCGCCATAATTGGGGCCATCTTTCTCCGTGACCGTGGTCCGCATAAATGCATCCTGCCATCCTGAACACCAGACGTTGCCGCTACTACCTTCCAAACACCAAGTGAGGCGTGCCCGGAAACTGCGCCTCCTGGCTAAAGGCCTTACGGGAAATTATTCTAGACACGCTTTATCAAGACTTTCCACGATACCCAGGGAATAGCCGGCTTCGTCCAACTCAAAGTTAGAGTTATTCCGGCATGCATGAATCTCCTCTACCCAGTTCTACCATCAAATTCAGCTACCTCATCACCATCCGATCCCAGCTCTTCCTTGAATCCATGCCTAACACTCCAATTATCTCCGTATAACGTCTACGCATAAAGTCACCCCCCTTCTGCATGAATCCTAAGCCGCTCACCAGGTCATGGCAGCGCCGTGTTTGATCGTTCCAGTCACTGTCAGCACCCCATTGGCATAGAGACCATGTCATATCCCCTCTCTTTGCTGTAATAACCCGCCCCTCCGGCGGCTCGAGCTCCTCTGCGGGTTGGCTCCTGTCTCAGCAGGTTGAGTATTTCAATGCTCTAGAGTCTATACTCGCATGGATATACCCTGATCCCACACATCCTCAATTCCAAGCCGATCCAATCCAGTCTCATCGTGTGTGGACCCCGGCCAAAGTGATGGGTTCGGCGGTGAGGGTACGGAAATTGCACTCTCTGCTTAGGCTGTCACTCAGCTCATCACTGGAGATGTAGGCTGATTTTTGCCACCCAGACATGGCTCGAGTGCTACCCAGCGTGTCAGTTTTTCCCGTACTATCGAACGTGGAGGGAACAATCAGGACCTAGCCATATTCATTAACGGTCTAGATAGTTGTTGGGGGAGCATACGAAAAGTGACACAGGTAATAGACTACAGTGCCTTTTTACCTTTCTGCAAGGCTTTTAATGCGTAGATAGCAGTTAGAGCAGGTGAGGTTTAGGCCACGAGAGACGGAAGGTTGAAGGAGGTGGCTGAGCCGAAGGCAGCAGCCTTAGCCGAAATAATGCCACACGTGACTAGGAAAGTATAGCCGAGCGTCGAGTTCCCTAAACAGGCCCCCTCGTTCATGCTCAGAGGCTGTGCAGATCCAGTTTTGGACCTTCCAATATACACTCAGGCTCAGATCAGGGGTCTCCCGGAGCGACTCACCCTCAGCTCAGGTTAAAGCAGCGACTGCTCAGGCGGGCGACCGTAACTGGAACAGGTCACACGAGAGAAGTTTGCCTGTCTCTAGAGGTATACGCTAGCTTTAGTAATGTATAGCTATACATTCTATAGTAGGTTAGCATCTAGTTACATAGCCTAAGACTTTTTCTTATTTACACTTTTTAAGCATTTAGCTCCTTTGTTCTAGGCTTGTGTATCTAGTGCTAAAGGCTTAATAGTTATTTTATATAATGCTAGCTAGCGTTTTACCTCTAGTTTTACTATTATAATCTTGTTATTAGCTTTAATAACTTTTACACTAATGTTATAATAGTTCTTTAAAAAGAGGATAAAAATTATAAAAGCTTTAATAATTAATTTAGTAAGCTTATTATTTTTAAAGTAAAGGTTCTACTAAAAGCTAAAATACTTATTAGTAATTAGCATTTAACTTTACTTTTTTATAATGCTTTATGCTTTATATGCATAGAAATTAATTAACAGTCTTTTACTAAGTCTACTATTACTAATTTATAGTGTGTAGCTAATTTATTATTATATTTTAGCTTTACTACATAAGTTACATTAAACTATTATAATTTCTTTAATTTACACCCCCTTAGCTTACTATATAAGGTGTTAAAGTGTAGCTAGTCTAGGGTGTCCTAGACGCTTATGCTATAGCTCTACTAATGCCTTTTATAGACTATGTTTAGTTCTTATGTTAATTATGTGTGTATAATATAAGCCCTTCTGTAGTAAATAGTACTTTAACACTTATTAGCTATAGATCTTTATAAGATTTCTAATTATTATTCTATCTAAGGCCTTTAAAGTAGTTAGCTTTACTTATGTGTCTTACTAGATTTCTTTTTATTGTAGTAGGCAGAACAAGACTAGGTTGCACAGCAGGTCTAGGCACAGTGCAGCATTATGTAGTATAAGACTATATGCTTAACTGTGTGTTTTATACTTACTTTTTAGGCTTAGTGTAATTAATTTATAGCTTTAAATTTATATATAAAAGTTTCTAAACTAGATAAAGTCTCTTAGTGTTAGTAAATAATAGTTATAGATTTAATTAAAATTATTTATAATATAGCATATTAAGCTTAAGTTAAAGATAAATAATTCTTTTAGTAGATATCTATTCTAGTTTAAATTAACTATAGCTAGTAATGTAGCTGCTTTAACTCTTAATACTTTTTAGCTTTTAAGTTAGTCTTCTTATATCTCTAGTATAGGTGTATGTAAACTTTTTAGAATTAGTATTTTTAAATTATGTCTATGCTGCTCTTTAAGTAGGCTTTAAAATTCTAAGTTATACTTACGCTTTAATACTATAAGCTTTTTAACTTTTTTATTTAGCATCTACTAGTCTAGTGCTTTATCTAGATAGACATAGAAGCAGTCCTTTAGTGCATAAATGTGTCTACATGTAGAACATTTAGTGCTTTCTGTTTTAGTAAGTTTCTAGCTTAAAAATAACTTTTTATTATCTTTTTAATAACATTAATGTTAAGGTCTACTTTATTTTTTTAACATTATAACTTCTGCACTATAGGTGTTTTTATTTATACCCTAAGTAGTTTTTTTACTTTTAGTAAAGTATAATAAGTTATTTATTATAAAGGTAGCTTTATGCTTTTTTATATATATTAAATAATTTAACATTATATATTTTTAAAAGCGCTTTATTATTTCTTTTTAATTTATGTCTAGTATAAACTGTCTGCTTTCTTAAAAAGTTATAAACTAATAAAAGGCAACTTTATTTATAGTAGTTAGAAAGTTCTTTACTATAGTATTAAACTATGTTGTTTCTAGAACATTTTGTGTCTCTGCTTCTATAGCAGCGTAATTATACTCTGCTAGCTATAGGTTCTCTATGCTTACATTTTTTAGCAGCTTTAAGGATGCATTATATTAGTTATACGCATGTTCTTGTTTAAATTAGTTGTTAACGCTTACTGTAGCTTTAAAGTTTATAATCTACTGTCTAAGTAGTTAATCTAGGGAACAGCATGTACGCTGCAGATGCGGGCTAACTATTAACTAAATAAAAACAATAATCTATTAAAGGCTTAATTACTCTTTTTTATAATTATGTCTGTTACTTTTGTACTTGTTAGCCTTAATCTTATAGTATTTAATAGCTTCTTTAAAGGCTCTAACACTGCTTGTTAATAGCTTGTTTATGTGCGTAGGCGTTTTAACATTAGAGGCTAGTGAAAACTTAGCTATTAGCGGCATCTCTAGAGCTCTTGGTTTAGAGATCATTTGGATGGTCAACTTAGGATCCACTTGCGGCCAGATGCTGTGCGCTACACATCTTAATTGCAGCTGCATCATCCAGGCTCTGTAGTCGGTGTGGTCTCGAAGGACGACTGTCGCGTCTCGAGGAGGCTGGGTGGCCATTTTATATCAATGGAGGCACTGAGACTCTTAATTGTCAGATTAAAGCACTGTTTCTAGGCTTCCTAAGATAAATGATAGGTTTTAATATAATGTATAGGATGATAATTAATTGTCTTAATTTATTAATCCTTTTTCTGCTCTACTTGTGTTGCTTGGCTTTTGTTTTTCTGATCTAAGTCCCTCGCGCACTAGCCCTATGCGCGACCAGCTTGCAACATGCTGCAAAATGCTGCAAAATGCTGCAACATGCAGCAATTTGCAGCAACATACTGTTCAAGCTTATTGCTCGTACTATGTAGCAGCTTTCGTCAAACGTTCCTCCTGTCTTGACAGTAGGTGCGCATATCTGACACCTATACTAAGCTATGCCTTCTAACTTGTTAACCTAATTCTCTAAAAACACCTAAAGAACTCGCCACCCTACAAGGTTAGTGCTAGTACGGTTCGGCCGTCCTCTCTGCTCGCAGTGGCAGGATCGCGTACCCCTAAAGAACCTGCTACAACTGTATCCTGCTTACAGAAAAGCTTCTAGAACATACCTTTACATGTCTGCAAAAGAGAGCCTAGAAGTGCTATATACACAAATTATAGGCCTATGCTATAAATTTTTGTTAGTTAATAATAATATAAAATTAGACTAGTTGCACAGCTTTTACTTTTATAACTAACTTAAAAGCAATGCGCCTATAATACTAAAGCTAACGCTTATTACGCTGCTTTATAGTTGCACCTAACTCTAAACTCTACAAAGTAAAAGTAAATTAATGTTACACTAACTATTAGTTAACTAGTAGTTGCGCATAACGCTTGCAAGCGTTATCTCAGCAAGCTCAGACGGGATGGGGAGAGAGCCTCGACAGGGGCAAGCCCCTGCTAGTCAATTGGAACCCTGGCTAGTAGCCTTAGTGGCGCAAGCCCCATCTCTCCAGCCAATAAGGGTATAAGAAAGGCTTTCTCTCCCTAGCTGTCTAAGGGACTTTTGTGATTTTTTAGGTGATATTGTGGATCTAAACCTCCTCCACCATGCACCAGCTTAACTAAGAATTATTGTAGCTCTACTACTATACGTCCAAACCAGCTTAGATTTTGATAGGTAATACAGAAAGTCTCTAGCTATATTCTATTATTTTTGTAACCTGTTTCTAACAAGATCCAGCAAAGTACTGCGTTACTAAGTCCTGCGCAGGGCATTATAATGACCCTACAACTGCACCTTAATGCAACTCCGCAACCACACAATATATTATTATTAGAATTTAAGGCCTATCTAAGACAAGCCTATTCTTATACTATTCTAAATTCTAGCTAATTCTGTTGTGTTGTTGTTAAGCTCTGGCTACAGAGGCGATTAGCCTAATTGCCTACTTGCTCTAACTTAACTAGCTGTTCTCTAAGGACTCTAAGGATCTAGAAGCTGTCTCAGACTAGCTCTGTTAGGGAGCCTGCAAAATCCTAGGGAATTTGGTCTACTAGTTGTCAAGTTCTAGTCAGGAGGGCGATACTATGAATCTGAAATCAGGGTATGGATAGGTTAAAGTTCTGCGCGCGTTTAGATTTTTCTCTGCTAATAATAGTTAGAATTTAGTAAAAAATATACTATTTTATAGCTACAGCTTGTCTCTACATTCTATTAAATTATAAGCCTATTTAGACATATAGTAGTAGAGATATTGTGAATCTAATTCTATTGTGATGCTTTTGAAATAGGCCTATTCATAGAAAAAATCACAAAAGTCCCTCAGACGGCTGAGGAGAGAAACGCTACCGACAGGGGTCAGAAACCGCTAACCCCCAGGCCATACTCTATTTGGAGTAGCAATATGCATGGTTTGTGCGTCCTCGGTTCTCTCCTCACGTCTGAGCTAGCTGAGATAATGCAAGCGCTTTCTGTAATACTAACCGCGAAGGATGGTCTTCTTAGAGGACCATCGCTTCTACGGCTACAACATGCTCCAGCAGCTTCACCGCCCTCTTCACTTGTCCGTCTACTTCGTATACGATTGCGAGCGCGTGCTGCGACGCCAGTCGGTGTGGGTGCTCTTCCGCCAGCACCTTCTGTTGCCACAAGAACTCCACTCATGACACTACAAGGCCACTTAAAAAATTACAATGCGATACTTAGCCTACTTTTACTCCTGCCAAAGGTAGAATCAGATTTACGGTTAGTGCAATTACTGGTCCCAGGGCAGCGGCAAAAATTTGAAGCCTACTCTTCCACTTCTCTCTCTTCCTCTTCTTATTATTATCCACCTCCTCAATCGCTTTCTCTGTTTCCTCGCCGATCTTTGCCCTCAGTTCATCTCTGGCCCTGATTTGTCGAAGCTGTTTCTCCCTCTGTGCAGCTAATCGCTGATTTATATTTCGCTTTTCGCCGGGATTACGACTCCTTTTCTCAACCGCTAACCGAGCGTTGAGATCTTGAATTATTTTACGGCGTTCCTCTAGCTGCTTTTCTAGCTGTGCAGCTAGCTTGGCGCCAGCAGAGGTGCTCTCCAACTTGCAGTGGCCGATCTTGAGCTCTTCCTGAATCTGGAGCACCACATCATCTTTTGCCATCATTTGAACAGCGATTGTCTGGGCCATATCTGGAGTTCCGTTGTACTGAAAGGTGTATGATCCTTTGGAGATAAGATCAGCCCAAGGCCCAATCTGTAGCTCTTCCTCACGCCGCAAGCCAATACTCTTATCAACTGAAGCCCACATGGTGGTTACGAGGGCTACATTGGCGAAGGCGTGCTCGCCACATATTTGTCGAAAGGTGTTAAGGTATCTTTTCTCAGAGCCTGAAAACCGGGTGGAGGAGATGTCATGTAGTAAGATGATTCCTTTCAGAGAGATGCTGAGGAGGTACTGGGTGGTAAGAAATCGAGTTATCTTTGCTTTGAACAGGGTCAGTAAGAAATTCGAGCAGATGTTGGCAATTACACATACACAGTACCACCGCGTCGCTATCTTCATCGTCATCGAATCCTGGGGTGTCCACTGCAGCTACAGTACAAGCGCCAATCTTCATTTGTACGAGCTTGCATGTCTTCGTTTCTGTCACTCAGTTGTTAGCAAATAGCAGAGTATCGTTATATACGTAGCTACTGACGAGACACAAGGCTATGCCCTTCCGTCACCGAATTTGGTTTGAGTTGATTGATGAAGTAGCTCTTCCCAGCACCCGTTACCCCCATCACTAGTATAAGACTTTCTGATCCCATGCTAGAGAGTCGGCCTGTCTCTCCATCATCCGACCGATCTGTTAAGTGTGCTTCAGCCTTGTTAGGTTGATCTGCTGTCTGTTTTCGAAAGATGGTCGGAAGATGCATTGTAAATGCTCAGAATATGCAGGTATTGAACGATGGGAGTCCTAACGAAGTATTCAGGTAGTGAGAGTCTTATCGATGGGAGTCCTGACGAAGTATTCAGGTAGTGAGAGTCTTATCGATGGGTTGTCGAAGGGGGTTGGGAGTTCGTGGCTATGATGGCGTTTTTAGCCCAGCCGCGTCGCCTCCATGCATCTCTCATTGGTGAGCACGGAAATGCGAACCTCAACCTCGAAGCCGCAGGATGTCGCCGCTTTTCCTCAACACACATCTTTTGGTACATCTGGGACCTGGAACTGTCCCCACCTCGGAAGTCGATTTTGTTCCAGATTCTGAAATCTGTTGTGGGAAAGGGGTAGTGTCCGTTCAGTGCATGCACTACAATGGCGCGTCGAGATGGAGCTTCTACGAGTCAAATGCGAGAACCTTTCATGATCATCTCGATCGACTTCGGGACAACGTAATTATGCCTTGACTTCGAACCCCGCTAAGGCGGTGTAGACTGACCCTTACTAGATTTTCTGGCATGTCTTGGACCTGGTCCGGGGCGATGGACCAAGTCTACCAAATTCAAACGTGGGACAATATCGACTCGGCCAAAGTCCCAACAAGAATCCAGTATGCCAATGACCAGCCCGTTGCCTGGGGCTTTGCAGCGAAAGACTCCGTGACCACATTTGAATGGTTCAAATTGCTGCTTGACTATGAAAATTTACCTCTGGGCGTAAGGACATCGCAACATGTACAACGAACACTCGCAAGATTGGAGGGCTGGTCTGGATATCAGGGAAACCCCGTAAAAGCTGCAATGAAAGTTACCAGGCACTACTTAGCACGACTATGGCGCCACGGTATCGAAATGATTCAAGACCAATATGGCCAAACCTGGGCAGATGGTGCGTCTTGTAAGGTGGTTATTACGAGACCAGCAATATGGAGTCAGAAAGCATCAGCTCGTACTCGAAAAGTTGCCAAGAAGTCCATTCTTTCCGACTATTCGCCGTTTGAGTCGGTCAGCATATCAATGATTTCCGAGCCGGAAGCAGCCGCCCAGGCAGTCCTGCTAGCACCAACAGTAAGAAACCGACCAGATATAACAAGAGTAAGTTCAACCAGAGATCGAGTGCCAAATGATTTGCTTAAAAAGAGCACGCTAGCCAAACGACATATTCCTCGTCTGCGATGCTGGTGGAGGTACAGTTGTAAGTCGGAATTGCTCCGCAGCCGAAGCGGGATGCTGACGTAGCAGGACGTCATAAGTTATGAAGTGCAGAGTCTTAATCCGATGAAATTGACGGAGTTCGTGGAGGGGAGAGGTATGACATCGCAAACCGCCCGAGAGCACATCTTGACTAGAAAATAGGGGACTTATGTGGTGCCATCTTCATCGACAACGAATTCGAATGCTTCATGCGGCTACAAGTCGGTCCAATGGACTGGGATTCGCTATCTTCGAACCATCGCGAACGTGTAATGGACAGAGAGTGGGAGTCTGGTATCAAACGGCCATTTGATCCAAAGAAAAGAATTAAATGGACAGTTGATATTGCAGCGCTTGGAAGAAGTTTTGCATTCAGCGGGTACGATGACACAATATTGCATTATGAATCAAGCATCTTACCGTGATGCAGCGACCACATCGAAACTCTGTTTCAGCCGGCGTGTTCTAAAGCTCGAGCGTTGATCCGGCAGCAAGTGGATCAGGTGAGACAGTTATACAACAGGAGTCCTAAGGTGTGTATGGTTAACCTCATCTAGCGTGTGTTTGTAAATCTGACTGGTCCTAGGCTATCATCTTGGTAGGCGGACTTGGTTCTTCTCGATATCTAGGCGGCCTTTTGCGGACACAATATAAGGACGAGATCGAGATTCGCCAACCTAGCAAGGATGAGTCGTGCGCCGTGCTTTTCCTCGTCCTTGAAGTTCCTGCTGATTCGGTTTTAGGTGGAGTGCCATTTGTCGTGGAGCCGTCATGGCAGTGGCTGAGGAAGTTGTTGTGTCACGCATCGCTCGCTTCAGTTATGGCTTTTCCTCCGATGTGCCGTATGAGTCTACCAGCCAGGAGCATAGGTCCCTAAGTATTGACCGTATCGTGTGGGACAAAGCCGAGCAGCGGAACATGGCGAAGGGTAAAATGAACTGGATCATTCGAAGGGTACGTGCTCGATGGTGCCGAACAGCGGCGTGGTTTTTGATATGACCAACCAGGGCACGAGAATCGAGCACATTCGCACTCCTCCGTGCTTTACCGCTAAAGAATACGCCAAACATCCTGAGCAGCTGGCGACAGGCGAAATTGCCACCAAACTGTGGGTATGCGATAACGAAGTGGCCCCTGAATGGAAGAATGCAGGCGAGTAAACCTCAATTGGCCCCCTTGTAACTGTGTGCCATTGTTAACGGTGTGCGAGTGCCAGATGTTAGATTGCTTTGTACGATTGTGGCGAGGCTCAATGTAAGATGGACAGAGCTTCCGACCCACGTCAATACAGATTGTGTCGAATATCGGCTGATCGAAATCGACATTCTGATGTCTCCTAACGGAAACACACTTGATTTCAGTGTGTATTTCCAGCAGAGGCGCCTTCAGACGGTTAGTTGATAACCCCGTGCTAGTTGACGACGACTGACCAGCCGCAGTGGATCGAGTGGCCAGGTGCTCAGCATAGCAGCACAGGAGTCAGAATCGAGGAGATTGTTAGTGAGTGAATGGGTAGATAGCTGGACCCAGGTGGAAATAGGAAGTCGCTCCAGTCTGTATCTAGAGAGTGCAAATGTGAACGTGGCCAAGAATGGATAGGATGACCAATGCCAACCTTGATCTAAATCAGTCGTAGTTTCTTGGCGTGCGACCACACATCCCAATTCGAAGGTCGGTAACCTGACCCTTGCTAGCCCACACCCCCGGCGGAGCGTCGTCGTCGCAATGTCACCCGAATATTACCAGCGCAGTGCCAGGGAGCACGTTCGCGGGTGTACGTCCGTCTCTTTTCTCTCCAAGGCTGACGCGCATAACTGACTTGGAAACGAACGCAGCAACCCCAATCGAGACGCGTGAATTAACAGCCGACATCCTCGCGCGCGAAGGCGCTATTCATATTCCCACCCCGAATGACTCCCAGACATCTCACAATGGCTACGACAACGATGCAGCCGTGCAGGACACCGACAATAGTAGCAGTGGTGGCGACGACGACGACGACGACGACGACGACGACGACGACGACATCAAGCCTGACGAGGCTTGCTCCGATTCGTCGAGCGACATACCTGTGGGAGACACAAAGATAAACCCTTTCAAGAACAGGCGCGAGCTACAGGACGAAATTGAGCAGCTGGAGTCACAAGTTCGCAAATTGAGATGTGAGCTAGCCCTGGAGCAGGTCCGTCGCCCTACGTTATACGGAGGGTCCTACTTCAAGAAACAGCTGGATGGGATCCGGCAAAGGATCCGGAAGTGGACCGTTACTTATTTCACACATGCTGGCGGCCACTGGACCCAATCCGCACAGAGGAGATTCAGAAGATTGAGCGAGGATTGGGCAGCTTATCTCGAACACGAACAACTGCGTCCCTGGCTAATCCAGGCGCGTCTGTGGCACCTCTTGCAGGCGCGCTTGTTCGATACAATGTCAAAGAAGAGATTTAGTTATATTTTCACCGGACGCACAAAGAATTTCTCCTTTGATACAATGCTTGCACAAGGTCTGCGTGAAATCTCTCCCTTCCTTACCAGAGGAAGCTAACAGTTTCAGAGTTGCAAAAGAGCAGTCCTGCAGACCGTAGAACCTGTCATGAGTTGCGAGCGTCGAACTTTGCCGTGCTATTTCCTGGCATAGGCCATGAGATTGGCGTGTCACCGCACATGCAAGAGGAAATCGACTTTCGGGTCAAGCAACTTCGAAGAGAGATATGGGGGTTGTTGTGGCCCTACGCTCGGCAAGATATACCAAAGGAAGATAGGCGGAATGCGAAAGCTTATCTGGAAGACATCATGTTAGATGCCATTTACTTCGATCTTGACATCAGAAAGGATGTCGCTGAAACTTCGTTCTTTTCTCGACGTTGCCGCGTCGGAGACGTCTTTGATGCGGACTTGATGGAGGAGGCGAGAGATGGAGAAGGTGAAGGCCGCGTTAGACTTATCGTTTCCCCGGCATTACACCGAGAAGATTACCCCGACGATGTCTCAAGAGCCGTGTTGATAAGAAAGGCTCAAGTCGTCTCCGGCGTACTTGAAAGACTTCCGCGGAAAGGTTACCAGAAACTTATATACCCAATTTACACGCCTGAGTCTAGCCAGTCGAAGCCGAGACATGGAAGCCATGTACCACGACCCGGGTCAGTCGATAATGGACATGGACGTGGAAAAACCAATCAAGGATCCCGGAAAAGCAATGCAGGACGTAGCAGCTACCAGTCTGTAGATCGTGTACACGCGCCAAGAAGGTCTAGTCCAGATTCACCAAGAAGCAAAACAGGACGCGGTACGAGCAGAATCTAGCAAAGCGGTACCACTTTGTGACCGTTGTTTGATTAATAGCACAACAAATCGGTGCGGAGGTTGGCCTCGTCGCTTCGTGAAAGCTCTTGCAGTTTTGCGGCAGGAAAAGACGTTGATTGCACGCTTCCGAAGGTATAGCCTCTACTTCGAGTGAACAGTACTTTAGGCTCCCCTTTCGCCACATGTAGCGGTATGTCCCAGAAGCTTATTTGTAAGCAGGATATATCTGTAGCAGATACTTCGGGGGTACGCGATCTTGCCACCGCTAGCAGGGAGGACGGCCGAACCGCACCTGCCAGGAGCTTGTGGGGTGGCGAATTCTAGTGTTTTCGGAGAATTAAGTTGGTTAAAGGGAGGCATGGCTAAGCTTAGGTTGGCGGGCAGATGCCAAGTTGTGAGACTGACACGCGCTGGCTGACTAAACTTGCTGGTGCGTACAGTACGTTCATACACGCTAAAAACTCGCTTGGGCAAACCAAGCGTCAGAAATTAAAGCAGAAAGTGTTGTGTTAGCGTTTAACTTTTTTATATCTAGCTTAACTTTTTTATGTCTAGCTTAACTTTTATATATGTAAGGTTATCTTTTAGCTATAAAGCTAGTATGTAAAAGGTAATAGCCTTATAATAAAAGTAGAGGACATAAATAGCTATGTAGGTATATTTTAATTATAAATTAAAAGCATATCTAGCGCATTCTAGGATATAATTATAATTAAGCCTTTTTATATCTAAAAACTGTTACAATCCTTACTCCGGCGAAATGGTATTTTCGGGAGTACGACGGCCTAAGATGGTGTTAGCGGAAAGGGGGTAGAACTTAGCTGGATCGGGTGTACAGTCCGTCGAGCAGAGTGTAGGGTTGGCGAGATAAAGAAGGCAGGTTGTGGTTTAACCCAGCAGCTGTATGGGGAGCTGGCAAACCTAATCTGTGAGGATAGGAATGGAGGTATATATAGTGCAAGATATACAAGGCGGCAATGTCCTCTTTGTAAAGGTTTTAATGCCTCTTAGTCTATTAAGTAGGTAAAGACTAAATAGTAATTACAACCTTCTAACTATAGTTGTGATCAAGACTATATACATGGGGTTTGCATGTTCTGCATGCTTGCATGTTTGCATGCTCACCTAGCCTGCATAACCTGCAAGCCTGCAAACCTGCGAAGCTTATTAGATGATGCATTCCGCTAGGCTTTTGTCTAAAAGCCGAAGCCATTCCTCATCCGTCCTGTCACGTGATTCGCTCAGCGCGGGGCTAAGCGTCTTCCATCCGACGTCGTTTAGGCTGTGTGGGACAGCCAGTTGGGTCATTACGGTCTGACTGTTGGCTGTAACAAAAACTTAATAATTTGTATCTGTAATGTCTTCTAATACTGTACCTTCTTCTATGCCTTCTTTTACAGAAGTTATCTAGTAATACTACTACCTAGTTAAGTAAGCTTAAACTTTAGTTAATAATCTTACTATTAATATATAAAACTTTATTATTAAAATTAAAAATAAGGCTTTTACTAAAAAGTGTAGCTATTCTTTACTAAAAGTTAAGCTTATAGGCTCTAATATATAAGTAAGTAAGCTTTAAAATACATTTATTATTTATTTAAAATATACTTTAAGTGTATTATAAAAAGAAGATAATGTATAGCTAGCACTTACTAAAAGCGTTAACTCTATTATTGCCTATAAAATAGAAAGTAGCTAGATTCTACCTAAATACCCTTATACATATGTAGATAAGTATACTTATGTACTTAATTATAATAACTTTACTTAGTAGTAAGCTATATTAATGTTAAAAGTACTTTTAGTAGCTAATTTTTTAAAGATACTTTAAAAATTTATTACTAATGTATTATTATTATATTAGAGTTACTAATTTTTATGCTAAGTTGTCTTACTATTCTACCTAGTCTACTTACTCTACCTTAGGTGTAATGCCCTCTGTGCTAAATATTAGTGCATAAGATTCTATAGCTGTAAATACCTACATCTAGACCTATCTAACTGTTACAATCCTTGCTTCGGGAAGCACTCGGGTCTGGTGGTATTCCTAGGGGATGATAGGACGGATAGAAGGGGCCAATCCGGTAGGGTGTACAGTCCTACGTACAGGCTATTGGGCTAATGGAGGGTGATATAGAGTGACCGGATCGTGGTTTGCCCTTAATGCGGCAGTAGGGAGGCCGGGTCAAACGGTCCTTGTTGGACAGGGTTGGAGGTATATATAGTGCAAGATATACAAATAGTATTATAGCTCTTTAGAAAGCTAAATGCTACTTAGTCTATGTAATAAATAAACTAAACGTTGAACACACCTCCTAAAGGTTGTTTAATGTGGGAACTATATACAGGCGCCGGGGCGCCAAGGGGAGTTGGCGGGAGCTTAGGGGAGCCTGCCAAGAGGGGCTCCCATGAGCTCCCTCCGGCTCCCTGGGCTCATCTCCCTATTGGACGACGCACTCCTCCATGACTTCGAGCAGCCGTGCTGCCTCCGTGTCCTCCGACTGGTCTCTAAGCGAGCCCTGTCCCAACCCAGCTAGATTGTGGAGCACTGCTGGTGGAGTTACGCTGGTCCAACCGTAGACCGTAACACTAACATGTAATATAAATAGATTTTAGATTTAATATAAGCTTATTACATAAAGCTTTATATAATTAATAATATATTAGAAATAGATTTAAAAAAGTGTAAATTTATAGTAATTTTTTAAAAAGCATAGACTAAGTTTAACATACATAAAGCTTATAATTTATAAGTAAAAAGCTATAAGCTTATAATTAAGTAGCTAAGATTTCTAGTAAGCCTACTTTTAGATATATTTTTATAACACTTTTATTATATTTAGCATAAGTTTTTAATATATCTAGGACTTAAATAGCAAATTAACTGTCTACTTAGCTTATAAAAACTATTATATAGCTTTAAAAGAGTATAGTAAGCACTTTTATAAGCAGCTTTTGCCTAATACCTTTAATAAGCTTTTTTTTAGAAAGGTTAGTGTGTAGTGTTAAGGTACCTTAAAAGGCACCTAAATACTATAGTGTTGTTAAGCTAAGCATCTTAAAGCGCTAAATGTATAGTAAGTCTATTTAAAGAACAGCTATATATTTATTTTAAATTAACTTTTAATATATCTAGGTATTAACTATCTATAAAGCTAAAAAAACATAGTCTAATATAATACCTATGCCTTTTATTTTTACTTTATTAGCAGAGCTTGCTCTGTGTAAGGACGGAGCTCTGTACCACTACGCCAATACAACCAAAAAGGTGCGAATAATCAACCAACGTTAATTATTGCGTACAGAATAGTATATATACCCGTCGCACGTAAGCACCATCTCGGCCTTACACGTAAGCGCTATCCCGGCCTTACACTCTGCTTATTATATTCGGGTTTGCAGAACAAAAAGTTGAGCAGAATCTCCTCTTTTGGACGCGCTAGTTAGTCAGAATTTCTTTGGATAAACCCTGGTAACGCTGTTTCTCTGTCACCTTATGTGTTTCTTATATTCTTTTTTAAAAAAAAATGTATACCTAATGTAAGTGCACCTTTATGCTAATTTGCATGCAGTTTGCTCTAGCATGCGTTGTGTAAAACATGTTTAAATTATGGTTAGTTGCGTCTGTTCCCCCTCTCTAGCCACATCGGTGTGTCGGGGATTGGCATCAGCCACATTGGTGTGTCGAGGATTGGCATCAGCCGCATCGGTGTGTCGGGGATTGGCACCAGCCGCATCAGTGTGTCGAGGATTGGCAGTTGCTCGCACACCTGAGTTGCTTACTTTTGCCAAGACCACACCACAACAAACTTTATTATGGCCCATAACAACCCACTCTAGCACTATTGAGTACAGTACAGCCTGGAATATTATTTAGATACTACTTCTACTTCTTTCTTACACGTTTGCGCGTTATGCCTAGTCTAATTGCACTGTCCGCAGCGCCTTTAGGATTGCTTCTCTACTTTAGCTTTGTCAGATTGAAGCACTGTTTCTAGGCTTCCTAAGATGAATGATGGGTTTTTGGATATGATGTATGGGATGATAATTGATTGTTAGCGGAGCTTGCTCCGCTCCTTTCTGTGGACTTTAGTTTTCTTTAGTTAGGGCTTAGCAGCTAAGAATTACTGCTTTTAGCCTTTTTAGGCTTACATAAGCATAAAAACAGCAGATCCTTAGATAATTATTTCTTGCGCAAAAACTAAAACCTTACTACGCGTGTTGTCTAATACCTGTCTAATACCTTCTACTATAACCTATAACATAGTACCTTTACTATTTAACACTAATAAACCTCCCCTACTTTATAATAATTATTATTACCTTATAAATTTATAGAGAGACAGGACATTTCTCTAATAAAAGGTTTAATGTGCGCCCTATAATACATAAATCTAGGCAAGGAAGCGCCCTACCTAGGGCAGCCCTATACCTCTACCTCTAGCTAAGAGGCGCGCTTTTACTAATATTACATATGTTGCAAATAACAGACTATAACCCTATATCCCACTGTTGTCTCCTCTAGTACCCCTATGTTGTTATTGTTCTACGCTATTAGACTAGGCAAATAACATGTTTAAAAAAAATAGTAAGTAAAAGACTTTATATTAAAAGTGTTACTAATTAAAAAGTAAAGTTAACATTTATACTATAAATAAAAAACTAGCACACATATTACCTTTTATAAACTTTAGCCTATTAAGCTCTCTTCTTTACAACATTTTTATATAACAGACACCTTAATAATCTCTTTAATATAAAATTTTTAGCTTATTAAGTAACCTTTTTAATATACTATCTGTGCTATTTACTTTAATTAGTTTAAGTACATAATGTACCTAAAAGCTACTATTAACATAGAGAAGGTTTTAGTCTACACCCTCTTAGTTATAGAGAGCAGGTACAAATAAAAACAACCTTAGCAATAGTTTAGATAAGGACATTAACATAGATATCTTCCTAGACGCTAAGCGCTATGTGTATAATTTTCTATCTACGCCTGTACCTATAAATTTTAATAATATTAAATTTCTTAAAGACTAGGCTATACTAAAAGTTAATAAGGGCTATATTAACAACTTTTATAAGGGTCTACTTAATATTAAGTTAGATATATGCACTACCTGCAATTAAAAGTAGTTTAACATAAGATTAAATTAATAAAGTACTTATAAAGAGTGCGCTACTAATTTACTTAAATATAAATATAAAAAAAAATTTATTTTACTTTAAAAAGACATAAATAACTTTAATTTTAGCCCTTTACTAAACCTTTTTAAGTTAACTACTACTAAAGAGCAACTACTAGCACGTGTACACATTAATATAGAAATAAGGCAGCATTAGGGACAGCAGTATAAGTACTAGGGCTATATATGCTACTTTGCTGTTAACACTGCTAAGGTGTTCTTACGCCTTTTACTTTTTTCTTATAATTTAGATATTGTTATCCTTAAACTAGCTGCTACTAAAGGGGAGAATTAGGGTGTAATTAACTGTTAGTTTAAAAAGAAGCACTGTGTGTGTTAACCTATTATAGGATAGTAGCTAAACTACTTAATTACTTACTATTCTAGATATGCTAACATTACTGTTAATAAAAAGGCTTTTAGTTTACTACTAATAAATAATTATATTAATAACTAACTTTTAATTATTAAGATAAATAATAATAGTTTACTTATAGATGTAGCAGATAAAGATAATAATTTAGGGGCTAATACCTTATCTAATACTACTACATCTGCTGTAGATAAAGACGCTAGCAGCACCTATAGTAAAAGCTCTGTATTTAAAGAGATAGACATTAATAAGGTTAAAAAGCCTAAACATAGAGTTGTACCTAACTTTACACTTAATATTTACAAGTTTAAGACATTAAGAGACTATATTTATTAAATAATAATATAAGAGTTTCTTTTTATAAGTTTTATCTATTAAACTCTAATTTCTAAATTTAATAGTTATAAGCTCTTATTTAGCCTTATGTTCCTGTCTTTATTTTTATATAGTAAGGCAGAATTTATATAGCCTTAACTACATAACGTTAATTTTTTTAGTTATGTGCGCTACCTTATTTATTATAAGAACAGAAGATTTACTTAACACCTATGTTTCTAGTTTATAGTATTTAATATGCTTCTTTAGAAGAAGTCTATGTCTAAAGTAGGATTCTACATTAAGCACGCCTTTAATAAGTAAGAGTTAATAGTAGAAGACATATAAAAGCAATTTACTAGAAAATATAGAAAGTAATAAATAGTTAACTTTATTATTTATTTTATAGCTAAAATTTATAGTACTTAGTTATTTTAGATGCAAAAAAAGAAAAACTTTAAAGTAATAGTATGTCTAATACTTGTCTAATACTTATAGTGTATATGTTAAAACCTAGTAAGTTTAGTAACTTTATTATTCTATATTATTTATTACCTTCTTTACTACTAATTAACACTAGCATAACCTTCTGCGCTTTATGTAAGAGTTTTCTCTATAAAAAGCTGCTAATGCTAAATAGTGTTTATAATTAGTGTCTACCTTTATGTAAAATAACTTACATATTATAGCTTATTACTTTAATTAATGTTTTAGGCTCTTTAAAAAGCATGTAATTAAGCTAAAGTTTAATGTTATAAATTAGTAGAATTAGTATAAGTAGCAAAGCAAAGAAAGCACACATAGTTATAGTCTCTACTACTACAGTAACACACCTTATCCTAACAACAAGCTAGGAGAGAATGCTACACCCTTTTCTATTGCTTACTTAGCAGCGTACTAAGGCTGTTACATCTTAGCAATCCATCTAGAACCTAAGCTGCAGGAGTTAGTAGATAAGAGTTTAGTACTGTCTCTTTTATAGCGCTTTATAATGTTTATATTTAAGAAGCTGTCTAACGTTCTAACGCGCTGTTATTTACACTAGTGTTAGACTAGCTATTATTTAAAAGTATATAAAAAAATAAAAAAAAAGTCTGCTAATTTAATACTTCTTAGGAAGTGTAAAAGGTGCTAATATTTGCGCATGTAAAAAGAAAGCCCTATAAGCGTTTTCTTATATAATAGAACTATATGCAACTTAACGCCTATTTACATACCTTTTTACTTAGTTAGCGCGCTAATACTAATACATAAGTATGCATAAGTACTACTAAGGTTGTTAATTACATAGGCGTGTATACTTCTAAGGGTAAGACTTAGACATAGACGTTTAAGAAAATAGCAGCTTAGGTCTTACTACATATTAAACCTAGTAATTTTATGCTTTTGTTTGCTACAAAGCTTATAAATAAGGGGCTTAGCGTTAGAATTATAGTGCTTAGAAGGTTATGCATTAGCTATTTTACTTACCTCTTTATTACTGCAGCTAGACTATTATTATAGTTAATTATTAACTTATTAGTTTATAACTATTCTCTTTTTTCTTCTAGGATTAAGCTTAGTAACAGGGACTACTAGAAAACATAGAAGTAGAGAACTATAACAAGTTTACTATTATAAAAGCTTATACACTTATGTAGAAATATCTAGAGTAAAATAGCTCTCTAGACTATATCTGCTACCTAGACTTCCTGCTTTATTTTAACTACATTACTAAAAAGTTAAAACATAGGCTAAGAGCTAAGCCTAAGATTTTAAACTTTTTTTTTAATATAAGCTCTCTCTTAATTTAGAGAACTTTTTATAGGTTAAGTTAACTCTACACTACTCTTTTTACACTGCTAATAAGTTATTAGCTGTTTATAAAGTTACTTATAAAACATTTACTAAGGCTTATAATTATTACTGCACTATCTGTTTTTATAAGCTAACTAACGCTTATAGTAAACCTAACCTAGAGAAGGACCTAAATAATCCTAAGTAGGAGAATGCAGTGCTAAAAGAGACTTTGTTATTTAATAAGCTTAAGCTACACTAACTAGAAGAAAACAAAGAGGATGTTAATCTAGATGCCTTTAGTAACTATCTACTTAATTAGGCAAAGGATTAGATAGATTTGTCTTATATTAATCTATATAATCTAGATCTAATAACATATTAGTCTAGGCTAAAGAGCTGCCATCTAGTTGCTAGAGCTAGGGCGTCTAATACTATGTCTAATACCCTCTAGGCAAAACAAAGATTATTGTACAACTTAGTTGTAAACTACTTTATAGTATATCTTAAACTTTGTTTACTACTGCAGTTGCTTGTTAATTTAGATAAGGTTAGCAGTATAAGAAAAATGTTTATTATTAATAGTATATTTTTAGCTCTTAATAACTTAGCTCTATAATACAACATTAGCAACTCTGTAATGCAATGCGCGCCTACTAGTGTAGCTGCATATCTTATATCTAGTTGCACTATTAACTCTATATTTTGCATCTTAATTATTAATAAGTATAGACCCCTTTTACTTTTATAAAGAGTAAGTCTCTTCTAGCTTTAAAGCTAACTCTAATAAGTTAAATATATTATAATTAATAAAAAATTTATAGTTAGCCTTAGTATGCTTAGCTAGATCTATGCTAGGTGTGCGCAGGTGTTTCTAGAGTCTAAGGAGGACTTTAGTAGCATTAACATTATATTGTCTAGCAATTTTAGGCAACTACCCCTAGTTAGCCAGCAGCCGCTGTTTAATTATACTAATTAGAAATGCCCTGTAGAGACCTATAGTTAGCACCTATATAGTTTGTTTAATAAGACAATTATACTTAATGTTATAATACAGCAGCAGGGGGACTCCTAGGCTAGGTTTTAGGATGCTTTTAGGCGTCTTTAGAATAGCGTAAGCACTGCTAACAACTAGATGCTATTTAGTAAGTAATGTTAGGTTTTACTTTTAGCTAATAAGCGTTATAGCTTTAACTTTACTATCTAACTATGTAGTAAATGTTCCAAGGTCTCTGCTATAAACTAGCAGTATATAAGAGACTGTAGTAAACCTGTTATTATTGCCTAGGCTAAATATAATTACCCTTAGGCTACTAAAGTAGATGCTTAGGACAGTAGCAACTTGCACAGCTTTCTCCTGTTATGTGTAGGTAGCTAAGTTATGCTCCTGCATAATATATAAACAGAGGTTGGTCTTGTAAACAGTACTATTAGGGAAGTAGACAATATCCTATAGCCTCTATCTGTTATAGATCCTTGCAAGGAGCCTTTAAAAGCAGTTTTTATTACTGTCTCTAAGTACAAAGGGCTAGCGCTGTACACTTAGGTAGACAGTAAGGCAGTTATTTCTATGTTTTTTATTAGTTAAGAGTTTTACTTTTAGGAGAATATTATGTCCTGCACACAGTTTCTAATCTGCTCTGTGTAGGCTATAACTATCTACAAGTTACAAGGCTTAAGTCTAGACAAGGCAGTTATTTATGTTAGTAGTAAAAGAGATTATGCACTAGGTTTTATATACATTACAGTTTTTTATGTTAAGTTGCTAGATAAGTTAATGTTTAATAAGCATTTCTTTTTAAATTATTTAAAAAGCAGTAATTTAAAAACTATAAAGAGGCAAAATGCAGATATGTAGTAAAGAATGCAGTAGTTAGTTATAGTAGCAGACTGTAATTTTTAACCTGTTTATCTAATACTTGTCTAATACCTCCTCTACTATTATATTATGTCTGTATGCTTAGTAATTTATAAACTAATTTATAGCATAATATATTACTTTTATTAGTATAATAGACATAACATAAATTAGAGTTTACAAATTAGAGATTATAATAGTTAGATATAAGTATAGACTCTATATTTAAGTTATTATAGCTTATTTAAAGTCTTAGAGTTATTCCCTCCCTACTGCTAGTACTTTTCTAGCTTAAGCATCTTAATAAACTAGGTTAAATCTACAGGCATAACACTGTCTCTACCTTAAATAGTATCTAGCAAGTATTTTACATTTTTTGTTTTAAACTAGTAAGTTTAGAATAAAGTCTAATGTCTAAATGCTATAATTAGTGTGTGTCTAATACCTTATCTAATACTAAACTTACTTTAAATTATTAAAAAATTTATTATTATAAAGTTTTAAAAGACTAATGCTCTTATCTTAGGCTGCTAATTAAATGTTAGCAGCAAGGAAGTAACTACCTAATTATACAACATATAATACTATTAAAATTGCCTATTTAGCTCTTAAAAAGAGAAGCTTAAAAAGAAAAATTAGTAGTTAAAAAGGCTTATTAATAGTAATAAGCTTATAAAAAGCTGTAGGGGTAAAATTAAATACTAGCTTAACAAATATAAACTACACTTGTTAGTTATGTAGTTAAAGACTTTTCTAGGAACTTACTTAGCACTAGCAGTCTTAAACATTGTTAGCAATGTACAGTAGATACCTAGAAAAGCCTAGACACATCTAGTTTAGGTAGCGCTGTAAGGTATTAGACAGGTATTAGGCGTAGCAGCTAGAATATACTTACACAGAAGATAGTATTACTTATATGTAAGACATACACGCTAAAGTTATGCATCTTAAGGAAACTTATTTTTTTGTCTGCACTAGCAACTGCATCTACTAGTATAGCTTTAATATATCTCTATTAGCAAAGTTTATTTGCTACTTTTACATCTATTATTAGCACTTTAGCTTGCATTAGTGCTCTAGCTTGTAGACTAAGATTGTTTATAAGCTTAAAGCTATTAACATCTATAAGTCCTATATCTATAGATTCCTTGTCTAGTTAGCAGTGTTAAGGAGGCATAAACTCTTTTAGTAGGTTAAAGAGCCTAGTTTACTAAATAAAAAATGTATATTTATTACTAAATTTACTAGGGTCTGCACTGCGCGTAATTGCTTTCTAGCTATAGTGTTTGCCTTTCTTAAATCTATAACATATTAGCTGCTGTCTAATACCTGTCTAATACTATATTAACTTACTAAAGTGCTGTTGCTACATTCTTAGACTAAATGCGCAGTTGCAACTCTAGTTTAGACTTTTTATTAACATTACGTTTAGCGTCTAAAAGATGCTAAACTGCTAGGCAGAACTTATTACTCTAGAATTTAGAATAGTACATATTAGTTATAATATAGTCTAGGTTATGTTAGGCATTCTCTCTAGTAAGCTAAGTTTGTCTCTTAAGATTTCTTATAGTAAAAGCATTTATTAAGTATTCTAATAGGCTTTTTTTACACTTTGCTATAGTTGCGTAGTAGTAATAGACAGGTAATAGATAGCTTAGTAAGAGTTTAAATAGTGTTACGCAAAACTAACAAACAAAGTTTATAGTAGTATAGTTAAGGTTATAAAATTAAGGTTATAACAGAGGCTTAAAAAACTAAATTTTTAAAGTAAATAAAGGTAATTATGTTATTTAGGCAGCATCTATACTACATAGGCTGTTACTAAGGTAACAGGTAAAGCAGCAGTAAGCTATTTAAAAAAATTATATTTCTTTTAAAAATGTTACTTTTACTTATTCTACTATAATGCGTTTAATACTATGTCTAATACTACTTTATATACTAGTTTAAAAGTATTCTACACATAGATTATAAAAGTTAGTTATGTAAAAGTTTATATAATTATCTACTATAATAAAAATGCAGTAGGAGAGTAAAAGTAGCAGTAAAAATCTAAGTAAGTTTATAAAAGTAAAAGTATAGCTTAAAAGTTTACTGTTTAACTTTTAAAACTTTTCTACTTACACTTTTAACATAACCTACTGCGTAATTGCTCTACTACTTTATTGCACCCTTTATAAGCCTCTATTTACTCTTAAAGCTGTTTTTATGCTAATATTATAGCTTAGCAATGTGTTGCACAGCTTTTTTACTTTATTATAACATTTACTTTATTAAAAATGTCTTGCTCTTAACCTGTTTATGTGAATGCTGCTAGGAAGAGTATAATTATAGTATTAGACATAGTAATAGACACTGCTAATGCATTATAGCTCTCTCTAGGAAGAAGGCTATTGCTACTAAAGCTCCCTGCAAAGCTCCTGTTCCTAGGCCTAACAAAGGTAAACACCCTTCTAAGAAGCTTATAGTTCTAAAGGGTTTACATCTAAGGCGTGCTAATTTGCCGCCCTTAGAGCGTGTTATGTACAAGAAGACTAGCATTTAGGTTCTAGCTTAGAAAGGAACTAGTAAGGGCTAGAAGCTTAAAAAAAATAAGAGTTTATTAAATCTTATTTTTACTATCTAATACTTATTACTAACTATAAATAGTTGCACTTTTTTAGCAGATTAAGTTCTATTAGTCTAAATAACATAATACTAAGTTCTTTTTTGCAATTACTCCCTTCTGCTATCTTGTTTAGAAGGTTGCTTAAGATGTAGCTTAAACTAATAATAAACCTCTCTGCTAGAGTAAGTAGGCACTTTATGCATTATAAATAACTGCTAAGTCCTTTATTATAACTTTAATAGAATGTAAGTGCTAATGTATTAGTATTAGACAAGGTATTAGACTTATTAATTTATAAGCACTTAGCTAGCTGCTATCCATGGCAAGCGCATCACTATTCAGGCTTAAGATGTGCAGCTTGTTATTCGCATTGCTTAGGATTTTAGCCAGTACTTTAACTTTGCTAATAAGTACTTGCGTAGACAGACCTACTAAGAGGTGTTCTCTTGCATAGCATTTATAGGTATATAAGTCTTTATGTGGAATTTATAGGAATATAGTTTATAGGTTTTAGTCTGCAGACTACCTTTTATTGTCTGCTCTGCTTATAGTCTTCTTCTATAGGCTTCTTCTAATGCAGTCTTCTTCTCTAGAAAGAGTTTAATAAGTGACTTAAAACAAGCTCTGCTTATGCATTCATTTATGAACTGTTATAGTATGTTATTGATTGATCGATGTTTCTTTTTCTTTTTGTCGGCTCTCGTGTTGCTCGGCTTTGTTTTTCCGGTCCGAGTCCCTCGCGCACTAGCCCTATGCGCGACCAGCTGCAACATGCTGCAAGTTGTTGCAAAATGCTGCAACATGCTGCAATTTGCAGCAACATACTGTTCGAGCTTATTGCTCGTACTATGTAGCAGCTTTCGTCCATCGTTCCTCCTGTCTTGACAGTAGGTGCGCATATCTGACAAGCTTACACCTGCTTCTTTGCCTTTTTCCTATCACTGCACGCCCTAAACTTATTTTAAGCTGTTAAGCGCAGGCCTTTCTAAATGTAGCTGCCTTATTAGCTGCTTAAAGCTTAGTAATTTCTTATTACGCTAACACTAGCTTATGTGCAATTATTGCTGCCCTTTGTAAGGCTTTTTTTCTAGAGGCATTACCCCCCTAGAACCCTCTCTATACGTAGAGCTACTTGCAACACAACTAATATCTACTAGGGATTGTTGCCTGCTGCTGTAATCTACTGTAGTTTGCTGCAATTTGCTATAGTTTGCTGCAATTTGCTGTAGTTTGCTTTAGTTTGCTATAGTTTGCCGCAATTTGCAGTAGTTTGCTACAATTTGCTATAGTTTGCCGTAATTTGCTATAGTTAGCTATAATTTGCTACAATTTACTTTATGCATTTCTTAACACTGCTAGGTAATCTCTTACTAACACCTCTAAGCATTAGCCTATTATATTTAAACAGTAGTTAAAGAAGCTAAACTAGCAGTTATGTAAGTAAAACAGCTTATTAAGGTATTACATGTACTACATTAATATTTGCCTTAATAGAGAGGGAGAGGCAGAGGCAGAAGCAGCGCTAGAGCTTCCTAGCACTCTAAGAAATTCCTGTAGAGGCAACAAACTATATAAGCTACAGCTCTACAACTAGAGCTTTAATGCTAAAATAATTAAATTAAAAATATTAAGTAGCAGTATTAGGCGTAGCATAGCAGTATTAGGCAGTAAAAGGAACAGGTGCAACACTAGAGAACACAAGGTGCAAAGAAGAGAAAGACTATTATTATAATAAGGTAGGCGCTCTACCTGCTAAGCTAATACTATACAACTTTTCCTACTGTACTAAAAGGTACGCACAAGAATACTTAAGCTAAGTATTCTTACATAGTATAATATATATATAGGTAATGCTAGGGTAAGCACTAGCACTAGCAGTTATCTCTAGCCTAGCCTAAATCTCTATAAGCGAGAGAAGGCTACGTAGTTAACTATGCTAACTTAGTTATAATTATAAGAGTAGAAACGCGTTAAAAGCTAGAGCTAAAACATGTTCTTTTAATTATAGCTAATAATTAACTAATTTCTAGATAACTAATCTTAAATTTATATAAACTTTTAGTTTTTAAAAAATAAATTTTACTAACTTAATTAAAGCTAAAAATTAGCTAGCTATTATAATAAGTAATTTAGTTATATATAAGGTTTTTAGCTTAGCGCCTATATACTTTTTTAAAAATGTAAAATTACCTATATTATATAGATATAAAAAGTGTACTAAGTAAAAAAAAATATAAAAAGTAATAATTTTACTATCTTTATAGTATTACTAAAAATAAAGTAAGTTATTAGTAACACTTACTATACTTAATATATGTAAGTTTATAAAATATAAAGTTAAGTAAAATCTTTTTTTTTAAAACACACTAGTTAGTTATAATTTTTTTAAATAAACTTTAGTAACACTATTTATTATTACTTTATATATTTTTTATATTCTTTTCTAAAATAATGTATACTTAATATACATACATTTTTATATTAATTTACATGTAGTTTACTCTAGTACATGTTATATAAAATATATTTAAATTATAGTTAGTTATGTTTATTCTACTTTTTAAGCTATATTAGTGTGTTAGGAAATAGCATTAGCTATATTAGTGTGTTAAGGATTAGCATTAGCTATATTAGTGTGTTAGAGATTAGCATTAGCTATATTAGTGTGTTAGAGATTAGTATTAGCTATGCTTAGTTACAGGCTGTAATTAGTTACATGCTATAGTTAAATATTGTTATTATGTGTCTATTACCTGTCTAATACTAATTTGCTAAGCATTATGCTATAACTATTCTTTAACCTAAATAACCTACCTTATTGTACTAACTATTACTCTAAGCAAGCTTTGCTTTTACAGATTATTTATAAACTGTCGTAGTATTTTAGCTTTAAAAAGATAAAGACAGCTAAAGGTAATATAGTAAAGTAATAAAAAGTAGATAATAGTTATTTAAAGTATTAATATAATAAAGTAAGCTATTTTACTTTTTATTATTTTTAAAAGCTGCTATTATCTTTTTACTTAGTATAAAAAGATATTTACTTTAAAACTAGGTTATTATAGTCTCTAAAAACAGCTAGATAATAAATAAGCTTAGGCTACAGTAGTTAAAGCACTTTAATAAGTATATAAAAAAAAGTTATAAGCGCTTATTAGCTTTTTATTATTAATAGCTATAAAAGCTATAACTTACTTAATTTCTAGCAGTACTATAAAAAAAAAATTATTATTATTTATATACTTTTACACTTATTGCACCTTTTATAGCTTTTTAATGTAGGTTGTTTTACTCTTTTAAAAAAAGTGTATAAGTGCTAAGCTAAAGATTTTATATATAACTGTCCGAATAGTGATATTCGGGCGCCTGGTTGATAGTCACGTGGCTCGGATGCGCCCGGATCCCTGTGCACGGAGATCTGTGCGCAGAGTTTGGGACTATATCAACCCCTTTCCTTTGTACAATAGAAACAACAAGAAGCAATTAACACTAGTTACCTAACACCCCTGTGCGATGTTTACACTGTGCAAACCTCTCTGTCTTGTACGCATTTGCTAACACTAAGTGCTAGCTAGCAGAGAGTCTATTTAACACTAATTAGTAGTTTAAATACTGTAAGAGAGAAAGCTCTTCTTATACCTTTCTATTTAAAAGTTTACATATAAGAAGAATTCTTTTCCTTACTACTTTAACTATAAATTAGTAAGAGTAAAGACAGAGTCTAATTTATGTGCAAGTAGCTATAAATCTCTATTTAGTTACCTAAGTAAGAGTAAAAAACCTGTCTGTATAATACTATTTAGAGGTATTATATAAATAGTAGTGCTTATTTAACGCTAGAAGGTCTGTTTTATCTTTTTACACAAGGCTGTTTAGAGGCAGTGTATAATAAAAAGTAAGACAGCGCGTAACAACGCATAATTAACTACTATAGAGTAATAAGCAACCCTAGCTCTATTTATAACTAGCTAACATAATGTATTAATATATAACTAATACATACCTTTTATAGGCATTTTAGTAAAGACCCTAGCAGAGCAGACAAACATTAAAGATTAAGTAGATAAGATTAAACTATTAAATAATACACTTAAGAAGAAGCTTAATTTATACGCAGCTAACTTAATTATAGAACTCTGCGCGTTAAGCGCAACAGATGTATGTACACTTAAGAACTTTTAAAACAACTTTATAGGGTAGAAGCTTATACACTTTAAAGATCTTAGCTAACTATTTCTATAACAACTAATTACTACTCTATAGAACAAAGGCATTAGCTTTAAGAAAAACACAACAGAGGCTACTACACTATATAGACTTATAAAAAGAGAACACATGTTTACTATCTTACTAGAGCATTATATAAAACTATTACTACTATTGCTAGTCTTAACGTAATAGAGGATGTCTCTATACAAATCACCTGCAGACCTAATACTTCCTTTATAATTAGTACAACTACCTTATAATAGCTTACTGTATAAGAGCACAACTAGGCAGCTACATATTCCTATAGCCACAGCTCTGCATAAGATTCCCTAAAGCTTGTACCTACTATATATAATTTAATTACTATACAATCTATACTAACTTCTACCTACATAAGATATTACAGCAGAGAACCTTACGCCTAAGAAGGTTATATAATTTTAAAAGGCATAAAAGAAAAAGAATAACTACATAGAGCAACTATATAATATCTTAGCTAATAAGGCTATAGTATTTATTAAGCTCTACTAACACCTTACTATCTTTAAGGCATTATATGCAAGCATCTTTTTTAATATTTTTAAAAGGCGCGCACACATGTTCTACCTTTATAATATTAGTTTAGGATAATTATAGAAGTTACTGTATAAGTAGCTTAGTAATTACTTTAATACTAACATAAACTATAACTAGTATTAGACAGATTAGATAATAATAAGCTTTACATAAAGTAAGTAAAAAAACTTTATAAAAACTTTACATAAAGCTTTTAAAGCTATAATTAATAAACTTACTTTTACATAAAAAGCTCTTAGTCTATAATTCTAAAGCAAAATACTACTTTCTACTGCTATTATATAAGCATGCTAAGGGCAACTTAAACTTAAATAAGCAATGTTCTTAATTAAGCCTATGTGTAAGGCACTGTACAGTAACCTCTGTTTAGCACTTTAGGTTATAATTAATTAACAGAATAATACATTTATAAATAAATCCTAGAATGTGTACTACACTAATAGGCAATATAGCTTACTATATACACATAGCTATTAACAACATAGAAGAAGCCTAAAAGAATATAGAGGATTATTTAGACTACAGTTCTCTGCATAATTAAAGTAATGCTTTGTCTGTTATAAGAAAGAATGTTAGTTAATAAATTATTTTTACACAGATTAATTTTATGTAAAATGCTAATATATCTTTTTATATAAAGAATTCTATAACAAGACACTAATATGTAAGAAGGTAAATGTGTATATTTAAAAGTTTAAAGGTAAACTAAAGTAAGAGAAAGAGAAGTTACATAACAATAATAACCTAAATAAAAAGAAAGGTAAGAAGATTATTAACTACCTTACTAATACTACATTTCTCTACTGCGCGACTGTAGAGGACATCTACAGCCTAGAACCTAAAGGATACGCAGAACAGTTTATCCTTAAAGATTAATACTATATAGTATACTAAGGTGAACTATAAGATACTAGCGTAGTAAGAATCTCTACTGTAGGGAAGTTATAACTTAAAGCATACCTGCAAGAATTCTCTTATATAAAAGTAAACTAGATACTAAAAAAAGAAAGTATTAGCTTTAAAAAATAAAAATTAATAAAATTAATTAGTACTATATAAATTACTAATTTAGTTAGTAATGTAACATATTACATTCTAGACACCCTAACACCCTTCTTACTGTCTCTTGCTAACGCAGACTAGATAAATGTGTACTTTAACAACATGCAGAATGTAATTATACAAAGTAATAGAATTAAAGTCTTAGTTGTACATAAATAAGGTCACCTATTCTTTAACATATAAAAAAAGGAATTAATATTTTTTTTTATAGAACACAAACTCTAACAACTGCACAGAAGGTTTAGCTATCTCTGTACAAAACAGCTTCACACAATGCTTAAGAACGCTAGACACAACGCTAATTCTTTTATACTTAAAAAGATTAAGAAGTTCTGCTACATGTGTTAGCTACATAACTTAGCACTATAAAGATTTAAGTTTATAATTAAGGATAATTTATACTTTAATTATAAGATAGTAATTAACATTATATAAATTAGTAACTAAGATGTACTACATGTAATTAACACAGATACATTATTCTAAGCAGCAACCTTCTTAAAATTAATGTCTGCATAAGATACCTAGGACGCGCTCTGCAAGTGTTAGATTAACACATGTTAGGGCCTACCTAATTATATTATACATAACCCTAGTACAAACTTTGCATCTAAAGATTTCTAAAATTGCGCAAAGATTATAGGAGCAATGTGTTAACAAATGCTAGTAGAAGCCTATTAGGCTATAGGGAAGATTAAGCGCGCGCACGCACCACTGCAACGTGCATACAACATCCTCTGTGCAGAATTAGATAATTATACAAATAATAAGTTAGTGTTACAGATAGCTGTTAAAGCTCTAAATAATATAATAAGACTAAACAGTCTTATACCTACATTGCTTATGTTTAAAACGTACCTAAGAATTAACATAGATTCTGCACTATCCTCTAATATTATTACGCAAGCTAACGCTGTACAAAAGGTGATAAAGATGCTTTAAAGCAAGAAGGTAAAAGTTAATATTAATTATATAATTAATACTTAGAATAGCCTAACCTTATATAAAGTACTAAATCTTCTACTTAGTTCTAAAGTAAAGACATAGCAAGAGAAAAAGAGATAGACAGGACTGCATATAGTAAAAGGAATTAAGGCCCTAGATGTTATTATTAAGATAAAGAATAGTCTAGTAAGACTCTACTGCACGCAAGTTATGCTATATTATTGTATAAAAGACAAGGATAAACCTGCACAAGAACTGCTAGATCTAGACAAACTAGCCCTAGTACAAAGGGATCCTCTATAAGCATAAAAGAGAGGTTGTCTACATAAGCAACTAACCCTAATTAATAGACTGCACAAAACAGCCCTTTAAGTAGTATTAGATTTATTATACAAACTAGAACTACAACTAGCTAAAAGAGGCTATAGAAGACTACATAAGAATTCTATACAAGACATAATGTTCTTAACTTAGAAGAAAAAGAATAACTACGCTCTAGTAATTAAGCTCTATGCAGATAGTGTAATTATAACACCTAGAAAACTATTTAAAGAATTAGACTATACAGAAATAGAAAGTCTAATTGCAGGCAGCATATTTAAGGTACTTTTATATAATTTATTAGTCTACAAGGGACAGATCTTTAACTTTTAACTTATACATAAAGTTAAAAAGAAATTAACAAAACTGTATAAAAAGTTATAACTTATGTTTATAAGACATTTAGATAAGAAGAAGAAGAAAATCCTTACATAGTCTTTTATAATTTAGAAAATAAGTTAGAGGTTAATCCTAGCTATTAGCCTATTACTAATAGCTTTATACAACATGCATTATAAACTATATAATATTACTTAGGCATATGTATAATTAATAAACAAGCTTATTTACACTTTCTTTGCATAACTACTAAGAGAACTCTGTAAAAGCTTCCCTCTACACATAATATTTAAAGTTGTATAACTACTATACAGCGCAGTAAAGTTAGGCTTGTATTAGTTTAAAACATACTATAACTATTATAAAAATAAACTTTTTATAAAAACTTTATTATATAATCTGTGCTTATTAATTACATATAAAGGCTTAACAGTGTTTAGTATTACAGGACTGCAGACAGATAATACCCTTAGTATTATTACAGCTAATTTTGCATAAAGAGAGAAAAAAAAATTACTTAAAGCTAACTTTTAAGCAAAGCCTAAGACTATACTATTGCATAATTAAGCTATTAAATTTAATAAAGAAAAGATCTACCTTATATAAAATAATATTATTTTTATATAAAAGGGTTAAGCTAGGAATCTACACACAATAGAGTCTAAGGTAGAGGATGCTGCGCAGAAGTACGTCAAACAGCGCGCGCGAGGTGCCTATATCACATTAGTATGTTAACCTAAGGCAGCATTTAACCTGTCTACTGCTGCTTAAGTTGTGTTACTGTTATATAATAATATTAAGGCATTAAATGTACAAATCTAATAGCAAATTAATAACTAGAATAAAGGATTATTATACATACTACTTAATCTCTTTTATATAAAGTTGTTTATCTTTACTAATAGATTATTTATAAATAATAAAGACCTAAGTTTATAGCTTAGCTTTCTTATTATTTTTAGAACTAAGCAGTAAACTAAGAACTTATATAACTTTAAAATTATAGGTAATATTATACACTAGAACTTCTCTAAGTGTAAACGCATTACCTGCTCTGTCCTAGCTAGTAAGCTGTACAGAATAGTAGGAGGATTTAACTGCGCAATTGCACTAAGTACAACTATTAACTAGATTACACGTATGCTTAGAATACCTCCTGTACCTATTATACTATGCACAGATTTAAGATTTCTGTACAAATGTCTTATAAAGCTTAGGACAATAAATAAGAAAAAACTTATAATTAATATTATGTTAATTTAAGAATTGTACAAGAAAAGGGAGATTATAAAAATTAGGTAGATTAATAGAAAAGACAACCCTACAGATGCCTGTACAAAGAAGGCGCTAAACTCTGCTTTTAAGAAACTAATTTTGTACAACTAACTAACTGTTAGAGTTAAAGCGTTAGTTAACAGACTTAAGCCTGTATAAGATAGGCAAAAAGAGCCCTACAGTAACCTATCTACTGTATGTGTAAACAAGGTAAGTCCTGTATAAAGGAAAAACAAAAAGTTGCTAATGTCTAAATAGTAATATTTAAGCGCCTAGTTAATAGTCACGTGGCTTAGATGCGCCTAGATCCCTGTGCACAGAGATCTGTGCGCAGAGTTTAGGACTATATTAACCCCTTTTCTTTGTACAATAGAAACAACAAGAAGCAATCAACACTAGTTACCTAACACCCCTGTGCGATGTTTACACCGTGCAAACCTCTCCGTCTCGTACGCATTTGCTGACACCAAGTGCTAGCTAGCAGAGAGTCCATTCAACAATAACTAAATTACTTATATTATAAAACTTAAGTTCCTACAATGCTTTATACACGCCTATAATGTAGTAATTACTTTTAGTAATATTTAAAAAGAGTTTTAAGGCGCTAGTTTAGTTCTATTTAACTTAAAATAAGTTAAAATAGCTCTTAATATCTAGTTATACACTCTATTACTACTACTACTTATTAATAATAAGCCTTAGTAGTTATAAACTCTAAGTAATACTCTTAAATTTAAGTTATAATTAATACTTATGAAAGTAAAAATTTAAAAGTATGTAAATAGCTTACTAATGTCTATAGTAAAAGACTTTAAAAAGGTCTTAAAAAGGGTAGTAATTATTATACATAAGCTAGTATTAGCATAAAAAAGGATTATAAAGCTTTAAGTAGTAAATAAAGCTACTACATAACATAGATTACATAAAAGAAAGTAGATTTAAGTAAAAAAGACTTTAATAGTTAAAAATAAAGGTTATTTAACTACTTTAAAAAGTTTAGAGCGCGTAGTAATAAAAAAAAGCTAAAAACATAAGTGTGCGCTAAAAAAAGTAAGCTAAGTTAAAGGTAATATAAGTAGTGTAATTAAACTAGGCATAACTTACATATATGTAAGAAAGTAGTAAAAGTAGACTTTAAATAATATCTTATGTTGTATTACTTTATATAAGGCTAAAGTAGGCTGTTTTGCGCTAGAATAGAGTGGTTTTAGTAGGGGCTTGGCAAAAGTAGCCGGCTAACCTGTGTGGCCGGCCAACCTGTTAGGTTCGTTATTACTAATTATATTTTAGAAAATAAATGTAATTTAATCTAGTAGTAAGCCTACTATAAAAAGCACTTTATAATTACTACTAGATTAAATCTAAATCATTCTAATATTTTTACTTTTAACTTTCTTTAATAACGCCTACACACTAATAGTATTAAGTAGACAGTAAATGTGTTCTATGCTTATAAAACTTAGTAGTATCTTCTACCTATAGTTTTTTAGTATGTTCTACTTATTATTACATTCTAATTTAATTTAGAATATATACTAATTACATTTTAATTAGGGCCTAGTCTATAGATTAATGTATTATAAAAAAGTGTACTACCTAGAATAAAAGTATATCCTACACCTACTATAATTACTTAATAAATAAGTAGTATAAAAAGCATATACTTTATAAAAGTAAGTAAGCTTTTAAAATATATTTAAAATTAATTTTTAATACATTTTAAAGTGTGTTGCAGTGTAAAAGATTATAGAAATAAAAAAATTAATCTTATAAAAAAAAGTAAGAACTAAGTAGTGTTTACTACTACCTTAAGTAGTAATATACCTAGTAGTGCTTGCTATAGTTAGCTAGCTAAATAAAGCTCTTAGGCACTAATTAAGTCTTAAAATACTACAACAGTTTATAAATAATCTGTAAAAGCAAAGCTTGCTTAGAGAAATAGTTAGTACATTAAGGTAGGTTATTTAGGTTAAAGAATAGTTGTAGCAAAATGCTTAGCAAATTAGTATTAGACAGGTAATAGACATATAATAACAATATTTAACTATTGCATGTAACTAATTACATCCTGTAACTAAGTGTAGCTAATACTAATCTCTAACACACTAATATAGCTAAAAAAGTAGAATAAACATAACTAACTATAATTTAAATATGTTTTATATAACATATACTAAAGTAAACTACGTGTAAATTA